TCAGAGTATGAAGGTTGGCTCAGACCTTTGCTTGACGATATTGGAAAGAGCTGCCTTTGGGAATCTGTTGCTGCCGTTGAATTATGTAGAAATCTGCTGGCAAGAATATCCAGTTCACTTGGGTTTAATTGTTCAATGTAGAAATAGTCCTGGGTTATTTTCATCTATTTTTCTTAGCCTACTTTTCGTGGAGGTATAGCTTTTGGATAGGCATTTTTTGTTTTTTGGCCAATCAAACTGATCTTTATGTTGTGAAGTGGAACACAACTTGCTTAAGAATTATGCACTTTAATGCGGTCTGCTGTTTCTCGCTTTATCGAGTGCATTTCTCAAGCTCAAATTTACCAACTCTGCTTCTGATTCTGCATAAATTGATCATAGTCTAATTCTAATATCCGGCGAAAATAGTGCTTTAGCTTTTTTATTCTACTCTTAATTCGACTTAACACTCTTTTTAACTATTTCTAGTTCACAAACATTACCAGCTATCGATTAAACCTTTTCTTCTTCTTCAAAAATCAGTTTAATTGATTAATGACTCAAAAATTTCAAATTTATAGGTTTTCGTTCATGATTTTGTCCCAAGTGCTCTAGCTTTCCTTATGAATGGCGAGCCGGACATTAAAAGAGTTTACACTATACTCTAAATGAGAATTTGAAACATCCTGATTCTGAATACAGGTCTTTATTTTCACACTCTATTAACTTTTTCTTTTTTATTTTAATGTCATACAAGTTATTTTATTTAATATTTAATATATATTCATATTTATATATTATATTATACATGTATATACTATATATAATATATAAAATTTTAAAATATTTTTTTTGTTCGCGAACGCTTGATTAGTTCGCGAACTTGTTCGTGTTCGTTCGATAACTAAACGAACATAATTTCTTGTTCGAGTTCGGTTCGATTGCTAAACGAACGAGTTTTTATCGAACACGAACGAGCTTTGTTCGCGAACAACTCGGTTCGATAACAACCCTAACTACCATGATCCTACTGTGTGGACAGTGTTATTTTGATCGTTGTGCATTTTTTTTAATATGAACACGATCAAAAAATTATGTTATAATAACTCCAGCAACACTATAATTCTTAAGTTGATGTATTTATATATATTTCAAGATTTGATGCATAATTTGTATAAACATTTCTTTTGTTCTTATTTATTTTTTTATATTAAAATAAAATTCAAATTATTCAATAAACATAAAATCTTGTACGAGATGACGGTCTACCGCTAAACTGGCCGCCGCCATTCATCTTGTAATCTATTTTTATTTTAAACTCAACTTGTAGGGTTTCCAGACACTAATAACCCTACTTTTATTTTAAACTTCATGACTCGCGCACGAGGCCATTCATCTTGTAATCTATTTATTATTGAGAAGTCTAACTGGAGTGGAACGTGTGAAAATAACCTGGGAACTGCCGCCTGATTTTGGAACCGCCGAGACTTATCGTCGCGGGCGGGCGCGTCTACCGAAAGAGACGATTTCCTCTCATCTCTGTCTCCCTGGCCGCCTCTTAGCCCAGCGGTTCGACCGGTGTTTGCGAGAGAGGGAGCTGTGCAACCAGTGAGTACTGTTGTTTGATCTTTCTCTATTTCACTGACATTTGTTCGTTTGTTCATTTGTTCGTTTGTTCGGTTCGACCGGTGGTGCTGATAATAGTTAAAATAGCAATTGCGATTTCAGTCAAAAGCTAAAATACAGAGCTATGCCTCATAAGATGGTATGGGGAATATAATGAAATTTCTACTCATCATTCATCAAGATGAGGATAATTGTTTAATAGTCCATCAGACTTCTGTACTTTCCTACTTATTTATTTATGTGGGTGAGTTTACTCCAATTTACATATTTTGTGGTTAATTTGCAGTACTTTAGTGTTCTATTGGTGCAACATAAGTATTGGACTGGTAAGGTGCTATAAAAACAATTTACAATGAATATAAAAAGTATATGTTCAATGCATTTTCTATGGATACATGCTGAACATTTGAGGTGCTATTTTTCATTTACTTTTAAAGGTTTTGAAAAAATTCAATGTACTTTTTAATGTTTTTAAGGGATATCTTGGTCTCGGCAATGAATTTAGTTATGCTACTTATTTGAGGCTAGGCTAACGTATTAGACATTCAATGAATATAAAAAGTATATGTTCAATGCATTTTCTATGGATACATGCTGAACATTTGATTTCCTCAGCTTGTTACTGCTGGCTTCTTATTCAGATAACGTTACAAAGACCAATCGCATACCATGGTGGAGGATTAACCTATTCAGATACCACAACACTTGTTATTTATTTGAAAATTAACCTATGCTTTATTCTTATTTTTCTATTGGTGCTAAATTTTATTTAGATTGTGCATTGTGATACCATGGTTGAGGATATGTGGACCATAAATCTTCTATGCGATGGGGCTGATAAAGGAGAGAAACGTGTGCAAAAGAAAATGGATAGAGATGAGATATGCTACTTCAACTTGATGGAAATGTTCGAGCATTATGGGTACACATCAGTTGACTATATATACTACAGAAGAAAAGATGGCCTTGTTGCAATAGAACAAGATCCTCAGATCATGGAAATGCTTGAGGAGTGTGAGAGCCAAAAGATGGTTAGCTTGTTTGTGATAAAGCAAAGACTGGCCACATTAGCGCCTACCAATTCCAACAAAGAACCATCCAAATCTCAACCAAATAAAACCAAAGGTATTATAATGATCATATAATTTACTCCTCTAATTTTACTATAAACAGTAAAGTCTATGATAAGATTTGTACCTTTAATCTCTATATACAAGTTGTAGTTACAATGGAAGCTTCCTTTTGTTTTAATTTATTATTTACATTCTTGCAGTGAAGGTGCCAGGCGCTCGTGCTTCAGGTAACAGAAAATGATATTTTACCACGCTGCATCCATACAAAATTGGCTCTGATTGAATCTGGCATCACAAAAACATCAGCATGTATTTAGTTTTAGTCATATGTTCTTCCATAGATCTTGTGTTCAGTACTGAAAATATTAGTTTAGGCAAAATAAAAAAAAATTTAGACCAGGGTATCATGGTTTGACCTTTATATACTATACTATTTTGGCTCTTCAATGGCTGTGGCAAGGGGTAGAAGGAAACAGATAATTCAGATTCATGATGACTATTTGTCAGAAGAGCATATTGGACAAGAGAGCCATGGACAAACTATTGAGGCATCTGAACTCCATTCAAGTGCTAGAGGAGATCAGATTGATGGTGATGGTGATATTGAGGTTAATTTCCACGGTACTTACTAACCTACTGCAACTTTTTTATTACTACTAGAATGTGTTATCTATTTATCATTGAATATTTTGTGCTCCGTACACTACATAGATGAAAGTGAAGACAAAGTAAAGCGTGGAAAGACGAAACTGAAAGATATTTGGAACCTTCCAAAAGGTCACAGAATCGTGGTTAGATGCAATGATCTGGATCAACCAATTGGAGTTGAGGCTGGGTTTCTTGGAAAATTTCTTGGCATGGTTGCTAGGAATGGTTGCTTGTGTAGCTTGAGCTACAAGGATTGGAGACTTCTCATAGGAAAGAAAGAGAAAAACACAGATGAACAAAAAAATAAAAAGGATATACTTAAGCAAGTGAAGGTACGTAGTTCAGCTAGGCACTGTATAACCTTGTTGGTAATTTTTGATACTTTTCTCTCGATTTATACTTTTCTCTCGATTTTTGATACTTTTTGATACTTCACTTTCATTGTTTACTGATGTGTTTTTTTTTGGCATATATAGATGAGATTCCTGTACCCTTCTCGCATGGAAAAATGGATACTTCGAACCATTGGAGAGAGATGGAGGCAACACAAGTCTAATCTGAAATCAGTATATTTTGATGAGCATAAGAGCACATAAGAAAACCATAGTAATGTTCCTGACGGTGTACATGGTTATCAGTGGATTGCGCTTGTTGATTATTGGACGACACAAAAGGCACTGGTACATGGACATGTTGGGTTCATATTTGTGTGATTTTCATGCCCAATAGATTTAATAAACATTTATGGAACCTAAATGCTTTTCTCTATCTCATTATTATATGGTAGGATATAAG